ATTCCTCAAAAATACAACTTGCCTAATAATTCTGCACTCCCTGTAGAACTTGTGATCTGTTGAGAATGACCATAATGTGCAAATTTTTAAACACATCTGTCCACCTATGTTTTATAGGATCACTGCTCAAAAAAAACAAAAATGCACAAACCAAAAGAAAACAAAAAGAAAAGTTCACGACACTTTTATTTTAATTCCTACTTTTAGACGGCAGACATTCACTTGAAGAGCGCACAGCTGTCCTCTCATGTCGCATAAGACTGGAAATTTCTGGCAGCTATTTAAATGAGTAACACACATACCTTTCAGATTCGCTCTATCTATAGCTCTGATCGTCAGGCTACTACTTCGGCACCTGCACCTTCCTCATCCTGCGGAGGGAACGCGTTTTAGACATCTCGGCGGTCCAGAATCCCCTTTAAAATGTGCGAATCGGACGCTTCGTAAATTATCAGAGATGATCAAACCTCGCAAATATCTCCTTTGTACCATCCTGAACAAGGCTAATACTAGAAGCGTCCGTCCTTCCTGTGTGTTGCGGGTAGTGACTCCTCCCTAATTTCAAGAGCGCGCTCAAGAGGCTGGATAGAGGCTTCGGGCTCAACAGACTATCCGGCAGTTCAGTTAGTACTTAAAATGTTTCAGAGCCGGGAATATGAGAGAAATTTGCATTTGGGAAATGTGGATGGAAACAAAAGCGTATGCAAATCAAAAATCAAACAAGTTTAGGCCGTGCTTACCCTCGACAAAAAATTTGATTCACCACTGGTTGTTGGTTGCTGTTCTGAGCCCAAGTCTGGCAAAACAGACACACACACACACACACACACATACATACATACATACATACATACATACATACATATATATATATAAAAAAAAAATCTTTGTTTTGGCCATCTCTATCTTTGGTTTAGGGATCCTCGAGACATTTTTGAAAGAATCTTCCAAAATACTATATACAGTATGAATTGCTTTAAAGCTACTTTATACTGTTATAATGTCATGTCAGTCAAAAAACCAGACTATTTCACCAGTTCACATTTATTATCAGGATAATAACCACTTGGTAAAAATCATTCTCCAGGCCACTTCATGTTTTTTCTTTGTTTGTTTTAAACATACTAAGTTGGACTTTTAGTAGTCTTACTAGCCTTTCTCCAAACTATGGATTGTCTAGAGATGGTTGCTGTGAAAATGTGAATGCTAGCTTTTTGGTGTTACTGCAGTTAAAAACACAATAATTACATCTGAAGATTAAGGACTGATGCAAGATGAAGAATCAAGTTAAGACTTCTTTTATGCTGTCTCAGATCCATCCTACAGAACTACATGAGTTGCAGCAGCAACATTAGTATAATGTCAAGAACACTGTTTAGGACTAAATGAAAGGTCAAAAGACATCAGAGAAGTATAATGATTTAATGTTACATGCATTAACCATCTTTGAAGATGTAAGGTCTCCAGGTTTACATTTAAATATGTATAAAACTATATTAAGTACTGTACCAAAGGTTGAATTGCAGCATGACGTTGTTATTTTAAACACACCAAATGAAACGAACAGTCTTTTCTCCTTATCCCTGCATTAAGATTTGTATTATTGTATTACAGTTTTGATGTGCCACTGGAAATCAAGCACTGACATTCTGAAGGTTTTTTTCCCTCTTAAGAGTTAATGAAACACCAAGAATGTACGGGGCTGAAGTTTATTACCACTGCCTTAAAGTAACCTAAACTTCTTTTATTTGCTTGAGGAAAAAAATAAATAAATTGTGCAGTGCTTATCTGTGTAACATAGACTTCCTCCTTTACCTTTGGACTGTTCTGTGCTTATCTAACATCATATGATAAGAGTCTGATTACTATCCGTGTTTGTGTGTGTGTGTGTATATATATATATATATTAGTCTTTGTTCTTCAAGCTTGGGTCCTCTACCAGAGGCCTGGGAGCTCAGGGGTCACTGCACCTAGTGCTCCGATTACCACTGGGACCACTGTTATCTTCACCTTCCATATCTTCTCTGAGACCCTGGTACTTCTCCAGCTTCTCATGTTCCTTCTTCCTGATGTTGCTGTCGTTCGGTATCGCTACATCCATCACTACGGCCGTCTTCCTTTGCTTGTCTACCACTACTACGTCCAGTTGGTTACCCACCACCATTTTTGTCCGTCTGTACCTGGAAGTCCCACAGATGTTCCTGTACACTATGCCGCCCACTAGATTATGGCGTTCCATGTATGCCTTGCCTGCTAGCATCTTGCACCCTGCTGTTATGTGCTGGATTGTCTCACGTGCATCTTTACACAGCCTGCACCTGGGGTCTTGCCTGGTGTGATAGACCCCAGCCTCTATTGATCTTGTGCTCAGAGCTTGTTCCTGTGCTGCCATGATTAGTGCCTCTGTGCTGTCTTTCAGTCCAGCTTTGTCCGGTCACTGGTAGGATACACCCCATGTAATTTATTTTACATGAATTAAAACTCTACTTTAGTCATTTTAACTGAAGATGTCACGATTAGCATTAGTTGTGATTTTTTTTTAGCTAATTACTGTTTGGGAAATATGCTCCTTGCTACCAGATACAGTTAGCATGTTCATACAAACAACTGAATGTAATAATACCCTAATTTGATACCTGAATCTGGCTAATGAAATTTGCACATTTCTGATTTAGTTTTGTCAGGCTGTAGATAGTTGAAAGAGTTTCCAATTATTACTTCATATGTAGTTTAAACACAGTTTTATCCAACACCATGGCCATGAAGGTGATGCTGAAGGAGATAGAGATTAAAAAAATATTAATAGTAAAAACAAACAAAAAAAACAAACAAACAACTTAATCTTTCTGTCCCTTTTAATAATAATAAAAAAACAATTACACGTGGGATACTTCTTATTTAGTTTTACAATATCTACAATTATATTGTAATACATTGCTTTTGTTCACTTTAGTTTCATCGCATTTCTTATTTCTCATAATCCCAGAATCCCAAAGCTTTGCAAACTATATTGCAAAAAGAGGAATAGTTCTTCTTTAATGACCACTTATTCTCAGAGGACAACCACAAGTATTATCTACTAGAATTGATAGTGGTGTGTATATCTGTACACGTACACACCACTTTCATTTCTGATAAATCTGTGAGCAAGTGGAAAAACTTTGCCTCAACATAGCACTCTTAGTCACAGTTATCTTTCTGTCTCTGCTGTTTGAGATAAACTTTCAGGAAGTACTTTCAGGTAGTGTGAACAATTCTGTCGATGCTCTCCTGGATGTCAGCCATCTTCTTCAACACTTGATTGACTTTGGTTTCATCAAACTCCAGACACACAAACTCTGAGTCCTGAGAAAGACAAAAGAACAGAGGTGTTAGAGGCCGGTGAACGGATTGAACATAATGGGTCAGCAACTAACGATATTTCCAAAAAGAATTTAAATATTATTTTCCAAAACAATGATTCAGTCTACTTCTTAATCAATAAATAATTACTGAAGGAAGCAATATAATATTCCCTGCACATCATTCAGTGATTGCGGATAAAAATAGAAAAACTTTGGTTTAATTCCTAGTGTGAAGCTGAAGAAAAACAGGGGATTCTGCAGTGATGATGGGCATCCTATCATTAGGCCTTTTCTGGGATTCAAGACTTGAAAGACACCTTAGCAATTCATTTCACCAGTTACCAGTCTCCTCCACCTTCTTCCTCAGCCTTTGAGCTTTTATTAGCTACATTTAAATTGACTTGAATGGTGCAATAATACTGCTGAACAGTAGTTCAGTGGCATTGTGCACATTGAGAGTATGTGCTGCTCTGGTCTGCCGATCTGCTTTCTCTGAGCTTAGGAACCTGCAGAAAAAAATACACCAAAAAGAATAGACTCCTCAGTGTCAGCAGCTGCTCAGCGGTACAGCACATTAAGTCATCTTAAACTATGTTTCATTCTGTATCCAAAATACATGAAAAACAGTCATGCAGGCTTTGGCATTTACACCATGGTTGACTGAGCCACTTCCTGTCAGGTCATTATGCATTCTAAATCAGACAGCAAGTCATAGGAAATGACACCAGCATCAACTCTACAAATTAATATCAGCTTTGTATGGTGCTAAAGCAATTATTTGACTGCAGTCTGTACATCCATGAGGACATATAGCATACCTAGTTTGGTTCCAAATGTGACAAGAACTAGAACTACAAGGGTACTTCATGATAAAACAGTAATAGTTCTTGCAGGTAGAAGAATCATAGCTGCACGTAAAAATGCAGCTGCATGTATATACTTCATTATATACATGCAGTATATAATGTATATGTTGCAGAAACTCAGAGGACCAGAAATCCTGGTAGTCTGGACATTGCTGATTACACACACACACGTTGCTATGGTCATGTGGGCTCATAGCAACGTAAATGTGATTTCCTATGACTTTTACTGACAAATGGATTTCTTCACAAAGCAACAACAGCTTAAACCAATCAGAGGCAAAAAAATCAAAGCCATAGACATGATCCAACTTTTAAATTCTTTACAGTCTCTTTATGTAGAGGTAGAAGTGCCTGTGGCAGTATAGATTTGGGGATTTTTTTTCTATTATTACAATATTGAATTGTTTAAAAAGCAAATATCCAACAGTGATCCAAAATTTAAAGAAGGCAATGCTCCTTCTCCTAAATCTGAATATACATTTGAATACACTACAAAAGTAAGCTAATATTACCAATTTTACAGAACTTTTTTTCAGCTCTAAAACTGTTCAGGGCACAGAGTAAATTTAAACCTCTCATGGGACTGAGGCTCACTAAAGTACGGCCACACTGAAACCTGCTCTTTCAGCCGTAGTTAATTAGACAGAATGACACCACCATGAGGTTAGTTCCATAATGGCCTCTCCGTTTCACCCCAAAGGTTACAGAACCAGTTATGGAATGGATATCAGTCAAATCATAAATGGGTACTTAGAGTTGATGTTGCATAACAGTAAATGACAAAGCTATTGCTGTCAAACTCTACTGGACAGAGTATAGTTACGTCCCACCCATATCGAAAGGCCAAAACAATTCATGACTCTCCTCTGGCTTTATGATGTGTAAATGCGCTTACATGTCCATTTGAACTGCTAGCAATAAACTCATAAATGTGTGGAGTGCTGCAGTAAAGAAGCGGTGCGGTGGTTAGTACCATACCCCACGACAAGAAGTTCCTGGGTTTGAATCCAGTCTAGAGTCTTTCTGTGTGGCGTCTGAGACTCAGTATACCTATATTTATATCTCTAATGATTTCAGGCTACTAAAGGTATCTTAATAGTGTTTCAGTCCTTTGTAACATATTATAGCCCTCACTTTTCCCCTTGAGCTAATGTCATTTTCAAAATATGATCATTTGTACTCCAGCTCTGCTTTGAGAAAATACTGTCAAACATCCACAAACTCAAATCCTGAAGCATAATTAATCGGCATATATAAAAGTTTTGGTCTTTCTAATGTGATTGTATGTCTTGATGCATGAAACCAGCCCACTAGGGATACATCTTTCACCATCTTACAATGCTGTGATTGCAGCCATTCTCCAACTCTCTGTAAATGGTACTCATGGCCATTGATCAGTGGGCTTTGATCAGTGGTCATGAGAATTTGTTTATAAGGTTGGGGAAACCTGCAGTCAGCTGAGACTGAAGAAGTCCCTTGGATGAGTGACGAAACGTTTCTCCCACTGAAAACGCTTTGTCCAGATGAACAGAATTAACTTTTGGAGATAATGGGATTGTACTATTAG